CGACAGAAGCGAGGAGGAGCTGAAGCGTCTATCTTACTTGCCTCGCTCTCTCCCTCTCCCTCTCCCTCTGGGCAGGAAAGGGTAAGTGAAGGACTGGGAGAGCAGGACCCACGTACGGAAGGGCTCAGCTGAGGACAACTTGCCCAAGCGCCCTCCAAAACTAAAGCTGAAATGGAGCACTTTGAAAGAAGCACTGGATTCAGGCTGAGCAGACTGCCCTTCCTGGAGGCTGCTGCTGACCTGGGGAGATCGAGGCATCTCATAATTTCTGAATAAGATGGTGCATCCACCTGGGTTTTTCTAAAGGGTGTGCCTGCAGATAAAAATGCTGTTCATCGGGCCTATTGGTGCATCATGCAAATGAGCCCCGGTGGGTTTTTGCCCACTCTGTCTTCCAGATGCTCAAAAATGTGTCACAGAGGCCTTTCTGTTCATCTTAGCGGCTGCAAATTGGTCAAGATTGTGTAATCTACTTATTGGCACGGGAGGCTAATATCACCACTGCCTGGAGGAGCTGGACTCAGGGAAGTGGCAACAATGCAAAGGGCACAGCTCAACAGTTAAAATCGAGGAAACTACAAAGGGGGTGATATTGCTCCTACCCCCTTTTGGGGCACCTTCTTTCCCTGCCTTTTGCCCTTTAACTGTGGCAGCTGGGATCTTGGTCCCTGAGGGCTGTGCACGCAATAGCCTCTGTGCTGTCTCGTCTTGTAGCAGAGTGCTGCAGATGTACCCTTGTGGACCAAAACGAGAGAAACACCGTTTTCAGGGGCTGAAAATTAAAATATGAAACCAACCCCAGTTGCCCTTTTCTCATGCTCCGAGTAATGAAAATAAAAAAGCCAGCGAAGTGCCGTTTCAGCATCAGGGGAAAGCAAGATCCTGAAAGTGAGTTTGGCTGCTCTGGGAGATCCGCTCTGTAGCTGGTCCCAACAACCCATGATAAAATCACCCTCCTGTGTTCAGATGACACAACAACCCATTATGAGCCAAACAAGCCCTTCCCCAAGCCACGAGTTCTCATTGCAACTTGTTGGCGCAGAACCTCTGCTGGGCTTGGATGGCATGGCGGCCCCCATGGCTGGTTAGCCATGATGGATCCTCATGCCATGGTGAGCCAGGGCAACAGTAAATTTTCCAGGGAACAACACAACGAAGATTTACACCTTCAGTATTTTGTAAGCATGTTTGGAGCAGGAACCTTTTGTGTATATTGACCCTGAGAATAAAACTTGCAAAAAGTGCCTGTGGTGATTTGGTGAAAACCGAGGACTGGCACCCTCTTTCATGGTTAGAGATGAACCGATTCAGTTTTTGGAAAGCTGCTGTGCATCAAGAAAGGGCTTGGCCCCAAATGCATCAGAGGTCAATGGCAGTCCTTGTTTTTTCATGGATAAGTTTTAGTCATCTAGTTGCTTTTACTGGGCCAAATGACATTGTGATGTAACATGTAGTTGCCCTCTCTCTTTTACTTACAAGCAAGCATGTGGGCCCCCGATCCAGATCAGAACCAGAGCCAACTCAGACCCTTATTTTCCTGCATCCACTCCCCTTTGGCAAATGGGAAGGCTTAAAAAAGCATACGTATCTACTGGAACCAATGCGTTTTCTTCTTTTTTTAGCACCCACATAGCAGCGCTGCCCTGAGCATTAAACAGACCCAGGCATCCTGCCAGCTCTGGGTTTTCTGGCAACTGTGAACTTAAACCACAAATATTTGGCAAATGAGGGCTGCTATACTGGAGCTTCAAGACTGCAACATTAATATAGCTTAGGTCCCATGCTTTAAACAATATATTTTATTGAACATGGAGCAGAGTCAGACTCCTCCATTTGCTCCTGAAAAGGAGCATGACAAATAAATTAGATTAGCATCAATATAGGCTTCAGTAATTATAATGCAACATTTAACATCTTTGTCTAGCTGGATCAATTACATTTAATACACTGCTGTCACATCCCATTTAATAAATAGGAGCTCTCCGCTGTACTCAAACACATTCTCGGAGCAAAATAAAAATTCATCTGTGGGTGCTTTTCTTAGAAAGGATTTTATGTTTCCTCATGATTTATGGCACTCGTCGCATCCTAACATTTAGCTGTAAACTGCACAATGAACAATGTCCTCCTCTTAATAGTGATGGCTAACATTATTTCTTTGTTGTTGTTGTTAGTCACGAAGTCGTGTCCCACCCTTCACGACCCCATGGACAACATTCCTCCAGGCCTTCCTGTCCTCCATCATCCCTTGGAGTCTGCCTAAGCTCATGCGGACTGCTTCAGTGACTCCATCCAGCCACCTCATTCTCTGCCGTCCCCTTGCTTCAACAGAACTGTATGCAAGGAGGGGAAAATGCCTAGGTTGCCATTAGCAGTTGCCACTTTAGGCTGCAATTGCACACACATTTACCTGGGAGTAAGTCCCATTCAATTGAGCAGGATTCACTTCTAAGCGTACACCAATAAGATTATACTGAAAGTATGCTGGAAACAGCACAGTAGAAGTGGTTAAATATATTTGCTGCATTCCAAAGAAATTGTTTCAGATTAGCAAATCAAGCCACCTCCAAACTTTTTAAATGTTACACTGGGAACAGGCTGCATCTCACTGCTAGATCAGAACTACACGTATGTGTACAAGTTTCCCAGTTCAAACCCTAGGTTCTCCAGATAGTCCTGGTAAATATTCCTGTCTGATATCTTGGATAATCCCTGCCAATTAGTGTGTAGAAAAGAAAATATTCTGTTCCAAATTGGATCATAGGTTGAAAGGTTGCATATGTTTGTGGAATTGTGGTTAGTCTTAATAAAGGTCTTCTCAGTTAGGGATCTTAGATGCTTTCTTTTATGAACCTGCATGGATATCTTGGCTGTTTAGGTTCCTCTAATTCATCTATACAAGTTTCCTTAACTTGGTACCTTCCAGATGTTTTGGTTGCCAATTTCCATCAGCCCAGCCAATATAGCTAAGTGGTCAAGAATGCCAGGAACTGTAGTCCAAAATATCTGGAGGTCATCAGGTTGTTGAAAGCTGGTGCAGAATAAGACAGATTAACCTAAAACGAAAAAAAGTCATGCTGGTCCATGAGAAGGAAAAACCCATAACCTAGCTAGGCAATATTTTTAGTAGTACCAACCACAATTTCACAAAAATGTGCAAACTTCCAAACAATAATCCAATTTGGAATAAGACAACTTCCTTTCTGTGTTCTTTGTTCTGTATCTTTTTAACATTAGGGTTTATGGTGATTTTTGAAAATGTTTGCCCCTGTTCAAAAATGCAGGTAACTAAGTTTTTCATACGGAAGGACCAATGCATAGTTTAAGCTGCAATCCTATGCATGTTTAGACAGAATGACAACTCCCAACATTCTCTGACAGCCAAGATGGGAGAGGTAAGACTTTATTCTGTCTAAACATACAAACCTAGATAAGATTGCACTCCTCTGTTTCACAGATCAGTGGCAGGCTGCAATCAAACACTTTCAGATGTTTTGGCCTTAATCTCTAAGCCTTGAGTCTGTTGGCTGGGCTGACAAGGACTATATTCCAAGCACCTGAGGATGCCAGGTTGCTCACTGCCTGCTATAGGCACTTGCACAGAGCAATGGTACTACAGGAAGCCAAGAGCATTTCACATCCGACAGGCTGCACAGAGACCGTCAGTTTGGCATTGTGGTCAGAGTGTTGGATTGGAATTTGGGACATCAGGGTTCTAGTCCTCACATGGGCATGAAGCTCATGTGGGCCCAGTCACTGCCTTTCAGCCTACCTCACAGGGTTGTTGTGAGGATACAATGGAGAAGTTATATAAGCTTGCTTGCAGGAAAAAGTGTGATATATAAGTATGTTGCTGTTACATGAATGACTTGCCCTCCCAAATGTCCTGCTTCGCAGCCCTGCTCCGCTCTTGTCAATTCAAGGTTGTCCTCAGAGAGCTCCCCAAAGAGATGCACCCCGTGCCCATTCTTTGCTCTTTCCACTGCCAGGTGAAAACCTTTTAATTTTGTGAATATTTTAATAGAGTTTTATTTACTTTTTACTGTTTTACTACTGCACCTCTAGAGTGATTTAGCTGCAGGCATGGGGGATGGATTATCATTTTGATGTATTGTTGTATTTATACTGGTTGTATTATTGCGATTTTGTGGTGATTGTTTTGTATCAATTTTTATTATTATTTTTTGAATGGCCCAAGGAGCCTTTGGGTTGATGGGCAGTGTAGAAATAAATGAGTAACTCTGTGGCTTCCTTATGGAATTCGTTACGAAATTTATGCATCTCTTTCTTGGTCTTCCCTTTTCTTCTCCCTTCAACTATGCCTAGCATGACTGTCTTCTCCACCACGGAGTCTTGTCTTCTCATGATGTGCCCAAGTATGACAGCCTCAGTTTTGGCATTTTTGCTTCTAGGAAAAGCCCTGGCTTGATTTGATCCAGGACCACTCATTCATCTGTCAGTCCAGGGTATTCCCAAAGCTCTCCTCCAGCACCGTGTTTCAGATGCATCCATTTCCCTCCAGTCAGCTTTCCTCACTGTCCAACTCTCACACCCCTACATTGCAAATGGCGTTATGATTGTCTGGATGATGCTGGCCTTGGTCTCCAGTGAAGCATCCTTACACATGATCATCTTTTCTAGTGCCCTTCCAAGCCTCGCCCTTCCTGGAATTTCTTGGTTGCCATCTCCATTTACACGGCTGACTGAGCCAACGCGTACAAAAGCTTTCAGAATGTCAGTGCCTTTGCTGTTGGCAATTCTTCTGCAATCGTAATTACACACACCTGGTCACTTTTTTAGACGGCGCGGCCCATGAAATGTCCCAAAAAGAATGCATGCACGATGGAGCCTCGGCCCAAGGCCTCCGCAGCCTCGCCCCGGCTCGCCCCCGAAGCGCCCCGCAGCCGGCCGCGCCAGGGCTCCTCCCCTTCCCCGCCCGGGCCTCCCGCTTCGCGCCTGCCAGGGCGGGGCCACACGTTTATTTAATGGGTTCGCCGCGGAGGTGGCCGCGGCTCTGGTCGGAAGCGCTGCTGCACGTCGCCCTCTCGGCCTAGCGGCGCTTCTCGCTTCGGCAGCATGGCCAAGTACGTGGAGCTGTACACGAAGGCGAAGATGCCCATTCTGGGTCTGGGTACCTGGAAGGTAGGCGCGCGCAGCGAGGGCGCAGATCTGCGGGCCGTGCCGCTGCCTTGCATCGTCTGTGCTTGTCGCTCTTCCCTGCGGGCTCAGCTGGGCTTCAGCTCTGCTGCTTCGCCTCTCTTTGGCCGCAGGGTTTCTCCATCCGAAGGCCGGGAGCAGCGCGCAGCAGAACAGCTGCGTGCAGACTTTGCTTTCCGGTGATGTTCCTTCCTGCCCCGAAGGAATCCCAAATCCTTGTCTCATTTGTAGTCCATTTTGCAGATTATTTTACTTCATTTCAGTTTGCTCTTTGTTGTGTGCTAACGCTGAATTGCGTTTTGTGTTTGGTGGTTTTGTGGGCGATCGAAAGGGGGAAAAAATCTTCTCTATAAATGCACGTGGCGATTTGATAGGTAGGGATTCTTCCATTTTTATATTCAACTCTGATACGGAACCGTCGCAGAAATAGGATTTCCTCTGTTGTTCCCGGATGGATGCTTTTCGGGAGGGAAAGGGGAGGAGAACGAGGCGGAGAGACAGACGGGAATACAAAATGGGTTGGGGTGCAATTGATACCCGATTTTAACATTCCTGTGGAAATCCACTAATTTTAGTAGAGCTTTCAGTTTTAGGTTACGTAATATTTCTAAGCTACTTTTCCTCTCTCTCTCTCTCTCTCTCTCATTAAAAGCTGGCAGATACACACAAATAGTTTAAGGGCCACAATTTTGGTATACCTTCAAGTTTAGGAGAGCAGCTTTTATTCCTTCTTCCATAGTAAGCGCGTTGAATTTGGTAACAAGACTGAACTGCAGGGTTGCCTGCTTTTTTCCCCTTTCCGGTATTTACTTAATGTGCTGTGATAAGCATAAATTATACCGCTGAGAGCTTTTCTTCTTCGTTGGAAGAAGGGCCTCTTTTGCCCTTTGCATTTTTTTCTCCTTGCATAGCAGGTAAAGGGTAAAAGGAGCCTCGCCATGAAAAAAGGTGGCACTCTAGCAGCCTGATTTTATGCCTGTTTACATAGAAGTTAGTCATGGTGAGTTCCCTCTGCCCTTAAAATACTATTATTTGCAAATCTTGTGGCTATTTAACTTTATTATTTATGCTTTAAAGAAGGAGAACATTGATAAAACAAGGCCAGTTTTGGTCTCTGAGCCCGTCTTGCTAAATATATAGAAGCAAGCAAATCACAACATAAAAGAACTGCACGAACTTTTTTTATTAAAAACAGAAACACGAAAACAACCTTTCTTGTTCCTTAAAAAAGGGGAGATGCATTTCTTGAACTGGAAAGAGAGATGAGAATCTTTTAATTGTGTGATTTTTTGTTTAATTTCCAGCATTCAGAGGTGAGTGTTGTTCGCCTAGTCAAAACAACAACAACTGTGCCCATAAGGAAAATATTAGCCAACTTAAGCTTTGCAGGGATACCAAAATATTTTAGGCTGCATAATCCTGGCTGGTGGAGTTTATGAGGGTGTGGGGATGGAAAGGTAGGACTTGAGGAGAAATTGGAGCAAGCCAGAGTATTAAGGAAGTTGTGGCTCTTCTGACTGGCACAAAGAATAGGAGTGCTGCACATTTCTACCTTTGGATGCAGGTTGCACTTGCAAATACTTAAATTTGAAACAGGTGAAGTAATGCTAAGAAGTGGGCTCAAGAAGCAGATAGGGAAACAGCAGCCAAAGTTTCTAAAAAACGCATTTCTCTGAGTTCAAATTTTAAAAAAGCATGTATACATACCAATTTTTAATATTTCTGTGTGCTGGTTGATATCACACTTGACCATATTGTTTTTAGGGCCTCAAAGGGTGGGAGAAGCAATACCCTGTTTTCTCATGAGAAGAGGCAGCACCTTTCTTATGTTTGAACAATTTATGTTAGTGAGGAAAGAGCCTGGAAGGTCATGTTTTTGGCTCTCTTCCTTGAGCAGTTTGAGGACAATCAGCTTCTTAGGGCTTTTAAAGAAAAATGGCCTCTTCAAAGAATATGGAATGTTTTCAGTATTGTCTATTTCAAAAGGTGACATTACAGTTCCCTCTGTTCAGAAGGGAAGGAACAAGAACCTGGAAGCCAGCAGAGACAAGCCTTGCCACATAAGTAAAACTATACCTTCTGGCCATATGCTAGGTTTGTGGGCATCCTGAAACAGGAATGCCAGATGTTCGCTGGTCATTGCCTGAGGATCAGCCATGGCTCCAGCTTGCTTTCCTGCTGCAGGAACCCCATGTGATCTGGCTAATTGCTCTGTAGGAAGGGAAACAAGCCAGTGGTGCATGGTTTAAGGAGGCATTCAGTAGAAGGAGATAAAGCATGCCTTAATTTAAAATGAGAAGTGGATGTGGAATAAACTTGCATTGCATCCACGTCAGCCAGCCAGGCTCCCCTCTGCAGTACTCCATTCCATCACCCCTTTGCACCTGGTTTTCCATTTCTCTGAAGATTTGTTTTGCCCTTTGGCAAATGTTGTGCTGTCCCAAAGCCTCTTAGGTGTGGGTGGTACCAATTTGGCTGCCTAAAGACTGGTTCACTTGTATTCCAGTGTGGGCTGGAACAAGGAGTCAGTGACAACAAAGGAAAGATTATTATACTGGGACACCTCTGGAATTGGATGGTTGGCTCCATGTAGCGCCCCCCCCCCCTCCTATGGCTGCACGTTTTAGCCAGGAGATCAGTAACGGTGGGCTAGCAGGCGTGAGGGAAACTCAACTGCCATTACCGATCTCATTAAGAAACTTCTGAAAGTTCCCCAGAAGCTTAGAGAGCCAGTTCAGAAACTGCTGTCATAAACAGTCCCCTCTCTTATCGCTTCCTTCCTAGTAGCACTGGTTTGGCTTTCATACAAGATACTTGCACAAAGCAGAAAATACAGCCTTGCGTTTAACTGAAACTGTAGTTTTCCAGCAACCAGACTTATTTTCCACTGTGCTGAATTGTTCTGCTCATTCAGCTGGTGTCATTCCAGTCTAAATCACTTCAAGCATATTATGGTGATCGTAGTGAACAGTGACAAGGCATCAGTTAAGCAGGTTCTGTGGCTGCTGAGGCTACTTCTCCCAATCAAGGTTTCCTTCTCCTAATTCTAAGGTCTAATGAACATTGCAGCCTTTAACCTTAATCTTGGCAGTCTTGCTATTTAGCCAGATGCCCTCAGGGATGGAAAGGCTGTTCTAGACAAGCAGTCTGAAAAACCAGTAACATCTTGAGCTTTTTGTTCTGCTCTCCATATCTTGCAGCATCATTCTTTCATCTGAGGGAGGAAAATCTTAGGGGAGGAACCTTTGCAGATTGACTGAAAAGAAAACCAGTGCTGTGTGTAAATTACAATTTCTGAGGCTGACACATCAGTTAAAATCTTTGTCAAGGACACTGGCTGTATTCACAGACAGGTCCTGGCCTGCTGTTGTTATACGAGCATCACTCTTGCTGAATAATGCAACTCTTATCAGTGCCTCTGACAAATATTGCAATAGAAACATGTTTGGCTGCCAAAATCGCAAGTAGGACTAGCAACAAGATTATCGCTGTGCATCCTCACCAGGGAGAACCTGTTCCAGGTGCAAGCCAGGCCTGCCCCCATCCAGCATATGGTGAGTTTAGGCAAGACATTGGTAGTCCCACTACCCACACGCTCCATTTTCTTCTCTACCTTCAGGTTAAAGATGAATCGGAGTCAACCTTGTCTGTAGTGCACATTGTTTAGAGTGAGGGAGTTGATTGTACTTAGTTGCTTTTTGTGTGGCATGTCAGGAACTCATCAGCAGTGTCTCAGAGGGTGGACATGGTTGGCCCCACCAACAGGAGGCCCCTGAAGGCCTTCCTCCTCTTCTTCATTGCAACCTGCTGGAACATCTGCCTCTCACCCTGCCCAACAACAGCAGCGGTAAAAAGAGAAGCAGAACCTTGTGCTGGCACCATTCATAAAGCCTGTGTAGTAGCCCTGTCCAAGCATAATGTGTAAGCACAATTTTTTCTGGCCTGTGGTTCAGCATTATGCCTCACCAGATAAGCCATGGTTAAAGATTGCCTGCAAACCAGGATGCGTAACCATGGTTTGAAATAGACTTGTACACCATGGTGTTCATTAACTATGGTTAAGTATGAGCATCTACACAGAGCATGATGAAGGCCATTTCTTCATCTTGACAGACTTTTGGTTTTCCAGGTGACAAGCAAGGTGCCGTGTGTGTCTGCACAAGCCAGACTCGTAGTTTCACTGTATTTAGAGTTTCACCCCAGGCTACGGCAGCAAACCCTGGTTGCTGTGGACTGTGGCTAACCATTATGTCTAAATCCGGCCAGTATTCTCACCTTTGTCACAGAGAAAAATGGAAAATGCTTGTGAAGGAAAGAATGAGCGTGTGGCAAGTTGTGGTCTTTGAACAGGATTTTTGTCATTCAGGCACCAGCAGGACAAGTAGCAAATGCAGTCAAGAAGGCCATTGACGTGGGATATCGCCACATAGACTGTGCCTTTGTGTACCAAAATGAAGAAGAAGTTGGTAATGGAATCCAAGAGAAGATTAAGGCTGGGGTTGTAAAGCGTGAGGATATGTTCATCGTTAGTAAGGTATTTATAGTGACAATTCCTACCATTTTCTGTTTTATTTTTTTCCCATGGGTTGCCAGACATTTTAGTTCATGAGTAAATGTGGTCAAACTGTTTCTCTCTCAGAGAGCTGCATGAAAGCTGATGAAAGGCTCTTCAGAGGTCTTGAGTCTCTGACGATGAGACCATATGTAATAGCGTGGTCACACTGGGAGTCTGAGCTTTAAGGAAGCACAACCTCATCTGCAACAGGCCGAATGCCCTCTGCCAGAGGAAGCAAGCAACCCACTGATAGCATCTATCCGAATTAGGACTGAGCTTCAGTTTATTGGCCTACATCCTCTCCATTACCAATCCTGGGCAAAGGTCCATTTGAGGTGGGAAGGAGCTGTGTCTGGATTCAGCTGTTTCTACCTGAAATCCAGACCAATTGTGTTTTAAATTCCCTGAATAGGGTAACTGAGCTATTTCAGGAGTCCAGCTGCAGTTGCTGAATCCCTGGGCTTTTTCTTAAAATTTGGCTCTACCCCAGGAGAGGGCAGAATTCAGATCTCCAGATGTTTTGGCCTCCAAGTCCTAGAGACTTAGGCCAGTGTGGTCAGAATGCTGGGAGCTGAAATCTAAAACAGCTGGTGCTCTACCCATCTCTGCTGTATACTTTATATTATGAATCAAATATCAGACCTTCTTCTGCAGTCATTAGGTAGTTGGATAAAGGGGCCATTTCTTCTAGTTCATGTGTGAAACTTCTTTTCCATGGGTGGGGAACCCTTGTGGAAAGACTTCCCTAATGAGTTAACCTCTCTGGTTGTCTGTATTTGTTTCCCGTTTCTTCCTGCAGCTTTGGTGCACATTCCATGAAAAACCGCTGGTGAAGGGAGCATGTAAGGCAACCCTTGATGCCCTGAAGCTGGACTACCTGGACCTTTACCTCATTCATTGGCCTTTAGGATTCAAGGTACACCAAACCTCCTTCCATTTTTGGATGAACTTTACAAAACTCCCATCCATTTTTTTTTACAGGGGATCTGATGGGTGAACTATCATGGTACTACATGAAATAACCTTTCCCAACCTGGGATGTGTTGGACTACAACTCCCATCAACCCCAGCCATCATGGTCACATCCCAGGTTGTGGAAGGTTGACCTAAATGAAGTTGTGCTGATGGTCCTAACTCATATGCCAAAAGTTGGCCACTTTTACTGCATAATTCGCCATCAGCTCTTTGTAGGGGAGTATGATGGGCTAAACTACCATTGTTTAACCCACAGTTTGTTGCTGGGTTGTTTATTCCTGAACAACCCTGCAGTCTGGATTGCACATCTCACACTACACCTGTGACGTTGCTAATCAGTTGTGGGATACAAGGGGAAGAGACAGGCATTCAGCAAGCAAGAACCCAGTGGTTACTGTTCCATATGAACAGGGACATTGTATTCGCACCAAGTAATCCATGAACCTAGATGAACTATTTATATCATTACACTGTGACGTTTACTTTCACAACATGTAATAGTAACTGCAAACTTGGATGACTTTAAAAGGTGGTAAGACAAATTCACTCAATAACGAAAAGAGATTTTGCAGTCCTTGGCTCAGGTATCAACATAAATGGAGATAGACCAGGAATTAGAAGAAGTCTGGAACTTGGAAGGGCAACAGTGGAGGGACTAGGTAAGATCTTCAAGTGTGAAGATAACTTGCTGGAAACCAAGGGCAAGGTCATCAACACTCTTGTATTCCTGATCACTGTGTGTGGATGTGAAAGCTGGACAGTGTAGAACCCTGGACTGTCAGGAAAAAGAACAAGTGGGTCCTACACCAAATCAAGTCAGAACTTTCTGGAAGCCAAAATGGCAAATGAGACTGTCACTCTTTCGAAAGTCAGAGGAAGACCAAATACGAGACGATTCAGTTCTGTGCAGGAAGCCACAACCCTGAGTTGACAAAAAGTTGAGCAGGGCCTTTGGGAGGACGTGCATTCAGTCACAGGGTCTCCATAAGTCAGAGACGACTTGACAACATGTAACAACACCTTTCAGTGCCAGGCGCTGGGGTACATGAGAAGGAAGGTGCTGTAGCACTAGTTTCCTGCTTGTGGACTCCCATGCCGTGTGGTTGGACACTGCAGGAACAAAAGCTGGCCTTTGGCCTTTGATCTGATCCATAAGGGCTTTTTTATGTTAATGTATAACAGATATAAATTATGCTGATATAGCTTGAAATAGCACGTATAGGTGTGTCTGCAATTAAAAAGTATGAACCGCCATTCCAGACGAAGTGTGCTTCAGAGCATTCCTCAGGTTTATTATAAAGATTTTAGTATAAAATAAAGATGAGGATTATTGGTATTTTAAGCTGGTGTCATGCTGGGCCATAGAAGTGAATGGACTTCACCTGCATTGTTTGCACAGGAGTACATATACAGATACATATTTTGAGTGGTGAGTCTGTAAGTAGAAGCGATAAATATACAGTCTCCCTGCAACAAGCTTGGAAAAAGCAGGTTCTGTGTGTTCATAGCAGAAATGGGTCATGCTCAGCATGGATTGCTAGAACCTAATGACTTCACTAACCCCAAACAGATGTTCCCTTCGAGCAGTTTTTTAAGCTGTTAGAAGGCTGATCCAGCACCATGCCCTTCCTGCGAAAGTTGCCCAGACTTCCCCTTTTCTCCCCTTTTTAACTTTCCGGTATCTTTGCCCACCAGCCTGGGCTTCCCCATCCCTTCACAGTGAGTTGGCATGGGATGGCATGCATGTGTTTGTGGGGGTGGAAGGGAGCCCAGGCCTCATGACTGACACCAGCCTCCAGCCCTGTGCTGTGTGCTGCCTTATAAGGTGGGGAAGGGAGCCCACCCATAAGCTAAAGGCATAAAACGGAGGGAAAGACTGACTTCTAACTGTCAAGAGTTTGCACTTTACAAAGCTTCCAAACTTTGTTAGTCCGTAATGTCCATGAACTTGGCATGGGGTATCAGGATAGGAGGAGACCCTTTTAGCGTACCTGAGTGCAGGAAGCTGCAGCTTACACTTGCAACCCCAGGAGTCTACTAGATTCTGCCTCAGTCAACTTCCTGGACAATCGTCTTATAGGAAAATGTTGTGTGGCTGGCAGGTTGATAAGTCAGCGGTTTTACTTGTAGATCAGAGGGCTGATGCTGCTCACACTGTAGGAGGAAGGCCTATGCACCCGCCATAGCACAGTGGTTGAGCAGATGCTTTCTGCTCTCTGGCACCGAGCCTGATGGGCCAGCAGGCTGGTTCTGGTCAAGGCTTTTCCCCCTTGTCACAGGGTTCCAGATTCAAGGTTCTGCACTTATTGTTAAAGTCTATTTGATTGAAGGCCTGGGAAAAACCTGTTGTCTGCCTCTATATGGCAAACCTCTCCAGCAGTGTCTGGTAGTGATACATTACTGGTACTACCCAGAGGTTTTTGGATTCCAGTATCCCTAACCCCTGGCTTGCCATCTATGCTGGTTGAGGAAGATGGGAGCTATAGTCCAAAATACCTTGAAGACACCGAATTGGGAGCTTACATGGCCATTTTAGCTATTCAGAAGAAAACTTACTGATGTTTCTCCTTTGCTTTAACAGTCTGGAGAGTCCCTGTTTCCTTCCGATGAAAAGGGCATGATAATACCTGGTGACACAACAATTTTAGAGACCTGGGAGGTATGTATGGCTACAATTAGAAGTTTCTCTTTGTTCTTTGTGCCATCGCATGTATGCAGGTACTGTTAGCTGCCCAGCACCCTAGGGGAATTTTTATTGTTATTTCAGCATCTTCTTTGGATATGATTTGGGCTGTGTCCATGCTAATGCTGTTTAACTTGTGTAGCAGCCCAGGTGATGTTTTCATTCTGCCCTGCATTTGCTTGTCTCTCTTTGAGTCCCTTCTAAAGTTCTTCATGGTGACAGTGTTACTGTGGCTCTGGAAACAGAAGGCCAGGAAGGATCCTGCCTCTTTGCATGCCCAACACTCTGCATGGGACTCTTATCACATCAGAATGCAAATAGGAGAATGACACAACTCAAATTCCCAAATGTGCCCACAGGTCCAAAGGGTTGGAGAACCCTGTTCTACAGATTTCAATATCATTAACCTGCAATCAAAGTAAGGCATGTCATGGAGAAGCAGAGGAAATAATGTGAGGGAATTTTCAAGTATTTGTGTAATCTCTGTTTCTCCTCCAGCATTCTAAGTTCCAGAAGGACTGCACCATGTCACATTTCTGAACATCTCCTTAATAGAGATTATAGAGGGCTCCTTAAGCATTAAGATTTCTCAAGGCTAGCTCAGGAAGAAGTCAGTGCAGAGAGATCGCTGTGGTAACATGCATATTATGGTTATATAAAAATGTTGGACCTCAATGTGCTTTCAGGCAATGGAAGAATTGGTGGATGCTGGACTTGTGAAAGCCATTGGTGTTTCCAATTTCAATCATGAACAAATTGAGAGTATCTTGAACAAGCCTGGCTTGAAGTACAAGCCTGCAAATAACCAGGTAAGATGCTTAGTGATGTAAGGTATATAATCAGGTAAGATGGCTGGTGATGTAATTGAAATCACTGTGTTTGGGCAATTATGACTGGTATATTCTTCTGTGGTGGAGGATAACTAGACAAAAGCCCATGCTTCTAGAGGACATTGGAAAGCACCACCATCTTGCTTTTCTACCACAAAATTATCATTTCCAAGCTTTATAAAGTGCTTTGCAATTCTCAGTTATTATGTTTGCTTAAAATATTTTAAAATTTCCCTCCAACTTCACAGGTTTCAGGGCAGTGTACAAGGTGATGCTGGAAACTGTCATACAGTATACATAAAAACAATAAAGCACCACCATCATAAAAAATTAAAAATGTGCAAGCCAGATCATTTTTATGTGGCACCAAAAAGGTTGCAAATGGAAGGGTTTTTCTGCAGTCTGGATGCCGCTGCTAAGGAGGTTTTCTCTCTTGTCTCATCAATCTGATCTTGTCAGAAATGTGGAGAAATGTAGTCGACCCACTGGTTAAATGCCAACTCAACCCTTGATGGATTATGCCCAGAAAAGAAGCTAGCAATGCTGTGGCTTTGCTTTCTAAGAACCATAAAACTGCAAAAGACAGAGGGAAGGGATTGCTGTTTGCAAGAGAGAGTTGCAGGAAACCAAGCATTCCTACACACCTGGGTTGCTTTCCCTCTTACAGAAGGGTTAGTGTCATTGGATTGTAAAAAGGTTCCATCCTACCCTTCAGTTGAAAAGGCTTCCAGAATGGCTTGCAAAGGCCAGTAATAAGACAGAACAGTTGGAATGTGTGAATGGACAAGCAGTCTGCACTAAGCAACCCTAAAGGTGAGCCACAGAGTGTGACTTGTACACTGCTGCAGAGTACTGTGTGACAGAAGGGGGGATGCTTCAGGATAATATTACCTTCTAAATATAGCCTGCAAGCCCTGCTAGATCCTTCTCTGTGTATAAGTGCCTTCCCATTTTTCCCAGTTTATTTCTTTAAACAAACTTTCTCTTACTCAACCTGAGGTATGCTGCAGAGTCCATTCCATAAGCTTGGCTGATAACGAATGATCAAACTAATGCATAGGATTTCTGGGAAGTTGTTGTGTACCTTGGCAATAAGGATTGCAGCTGAGTGTAGGATGAACTCCCAGCAACTCTGTAATTCTATCTGATGCATATCAGCATCCTTGTTAGTTCAGCAGCAAGACACGGAGTCAAGAAACAAAGAAACACAGACTGCAAATGTATTCCAAGTTTTTTTTCCTATCTGGTCACTGAAGGAGATCTAAAGACTTGGTCCCTGGTGTTCATATGGTCATCCCACTTCTGGCTTTGAAAAATAGGTCCTGCAGGCTTTTGCAGTATTTAAAAAAACTTGAAAAACAGTTTGATCAGAGAGAGGAGTGGGACAAAATGTTTGTTGTGATATAGACCAGCTTTCCCCA